GGAAGTGAATGTTGAAAAACTAAAAGAAATTAATTTTAAAAATTAAATTTTTTAAAAGATAAATTTATAGCTAGAAATGGCAAAATGCCCAAAGCAATTTTATTTTATTTATTTTTATATAAATTTATTTATTTGTAGTTTTCAACATTCAGTTCCACAAGTTTTTGAGTTCCAAATTTTCACCCCATCTCACCCTCCCCTCACCCCAAGATGGCATGCATTCTGAATATCCCTTCCCCTAGTCCGTCCTCTTTTCTTTCTCTCCCCCCTTCTCTTATCCCCTTCCCCTTCTATTTTCCTGTAGGGCAGGATAGACTTCTGTACCCCATTTCCTGTATTTCTTATTTCCCAATAGCATGTGAAAACTTTTTTTAAAAATACATGTTTTTAAAACTTTAGGTTTCAAATTTCCTCTCTTCCTCCCTCCCCACCCACCCTCATTGAAAAGGCAAGCAACTTAATATAGGTTATACGTGTGCAGTTATGCAAAACACTTCCATAGTAGACATGTTGTGAAAAACTAACTCTATTTCCCTTAACCCTATTCTGCCCTCCTATTTATTCTATTCTTTCTTTTGACCCTCTTCCTCCTCAGAAGTATTTACTTCTGATTATACCCTTTTCCAGTCTGCCCTCCTCTCTGTCATCCCCCTGCTCTCTTGTCCCTTTCTCCCCCTGTTTTCTTGTAGGGTAAGATAAACTTCCATACCCAATTGAATGTGTATGTTATTCCCTCCTTAAGCCAAATCCTATGAGAATAAGATTTACTCATTCCCTCTCACCTTCCCCTGCTTCCCCTCCACTGTAAGAGACTTTTCTTTTCTGTTTTTTCTTTGTGAGATAATTTACCCCATTCTACCTTTCCCTTTCTTCTTCTCTGAGTATAATCCTCCCTCATCCCTTAATTTTATTCCAGCCCGGCGCGATACACCTTTCTGATCAATCATCCAGGTTGTCTTGGGCTGGAAATTTGTTTCACTCTGTCTTTTTGTGGGTTCTGCTGCTTCAGAATTTGTTTAGAGCCATTTTTTATGAGTATTTGGAGGGATTTGGGGGAGAGCTTAAGCGAGACACTGCTTTCACTCTGCCATCTTGGCTCTGCCCCCTCCCAAAACAATTTTATAAAAACACTAGTGCATTCAGGCTCAGTGACCATTTGAGTTGAGATTCCTTTGCATTATGGATTGTATTGATGGAATTCCTTCCAACTGTAAGGACCTGTGACTTTTACTATGACTGAACATGGAAAAAAAAAACTTAAATAACATTCTTGGATTCCTAGACATTTTAATGGAAAATTAATCTCAGAAAATTAGTTTGAAATCAACTTAATTAAATATGTTCATTACAATCATAAATGAAAATTTACTGTGCATTATCTCTTTAAGTATATTTATCATTTCCTTTATTGGATCTCTCTGATTTTGATTTTCTGAATAAATGATTGGGATGAAGAGCACTGTCTGTTTCTGTATTAGCTCAAAAGAAGATAATTAACATCTTTATAAAAAAATGTGGTAGGGTGTTGGGTTTTCTTGTTTTGAGGAGTTGGGGGTTTTTGTTTTTGTTTTTGAGGGGTTTTTTGGAGATTGTGACATAAAGAGAATTATATCAGAGATCTATACTGAGACTTTTGTGTTAAAACTTTAAAAAAAATACTAGGTTAGAAAAGCTGGTCTAAGAATGGCCAGCCCTTTGTAGGAGTGATCGCCTTTTGTTCAGTAGTTGTCCCCAAAGGCCAAAGCAGCTGCATAGCATGGCAGTGCCATTAAAGGTACCATATATGTTACCAAACTCTCTTATTCAGGTCTCTAATTCCTTTTAAAGCAACATGGAATTGATCCCTAATTTAAGATAACTTGTTCTAAAATTTTTATTTCCTTTAATTTAAGGATCTTTCTTACTTACTGCATGTATACTCCATGAGATAATTATTTTTCTGTGAGTCAGTAGCTACTCATCCCAAGGAAAATAATTTCATAGTTTCTAGTTTAAGAAGCATTAGGAAGTATTATGTAGCAAGCTCACAAAAATCAAAATAACCTAAATTTCTAAATTGATACAGAAATGGATGGTGCTCCTCATCTATACTGAAATCTACACAATTAATTCTTACTTATACAAGGTCTTTTTTGTCTCCTTCCCTTAATCTGTCTTCCCAAATTGATGAATGTCTTGCATCTGATGACCTTCAAATGCCCATCCATGGCATCCCTTCACAGCTTTGTGCATCGTGGGCGTCCTGAGCCTTTGGACCTTCACTTGGGTATGTTTCTGCCCACATTACTTCACCAGGCAACCCAGGAGCAGCAGGAACGCTTCTTCATACCAGCCTGGAACCTGGAGATTATTGGCACTTATGCCCAGACAGAAATGGGCCATGGTATGGTACATTCAGTCTATCCTCTGGGGTGGTTGGGCTTCTTGTGGAAAACCTCTTATACGTATGAGGGATGAAGAAAGAACTTCGAGGTCCAGAGCTTTCATACATATTGTCTTGGCATAGAACTGAGCCTTGTTCAATGAAAATAACTAGGGTTACATGACTTTACAAATCAGCTAACTGAACGTTTCTGTCATGGTTCAGTTATGGTTGCCTTCCTTAAGGTAAAGGATATAAAATCAATCCTTAGGATTTGTAAGGATTTATAAGCCCATCTAAGTTAGTGTTTGGACTTTTCACTGTGACTCATCTTTCTGTCACCAGTTTTGTCATTTTTGTGACTTGGACCTTGATGTTGTAATCATCTCTAGTATAAACACTTAGCTAATGTGATAGCCTAACATTACCTTTGCTCAGGAAGATGCTGTAGAGCAGACATTCATGACAAGGAAAAGTTAAAAGCCTCTGCCAGAGAGGAAATGTCCAGCTTAAATGACTGAAAGTACAGGGTCATATATTTCGGGCTGGAAGAGACTTGAAGTCCTTAAAGGGACCTGAGGCTCAGAAAGGTTAAGTGATTTGCCCAAGCCCAATGCTTCTAAGTGACAACAGAGGCAAATCTGCACCCAGTGCTTCTGTTATTTTCACTGTTGTGCTACCTGCAGAACAGATCTAAATCATTTACCTTGAAGGGCGTAAAATATCCTTATTCTGTGACTGGATGGATGGAGATTGCCAAAAGACAGTGTTCCTTTAAATTAGCTCTCACATTTCTGCACTGATCTCCTTATTTATCTCTTTTCTGTTCCTTTCTTTTCTTCATTAATTGTAAGTATCATTCCTTTTAACACTCCTGTTGTAACTTGATATTAGCAACTACCATCATTTACTACAACTTCCATTCTCCATGTTTTCAGAAAATTACTTGTAATTTGCACTGTGTACTTTTTCCTTCCACACAAACAGAATCTTTTTATTTCTTTTTCATTCAAGAGCACCTTAACTCTAGAACCTTAGAAACACAGTTATATAGGATTTGAACAATAGAATACTATCCATTTATTTGATCCTATCCTGTCATTGCCTCTCTTGGCTTATTTGTTACATTTTCATATTTTTCCTTTGAAGGGCTCTTCCTGGTCTGTTGATCTGTCTGTACTCTTTAAAGAAAGAGAAAGGAAAAAAGATAATGGAACTAAAAATGCTTGCTTTTCAGTTAAAAAAAAATTAGGATCTGTAATTTAAATGTTCTGAACTCCTTGAATAAAGACTGTCCATACCCAAAACTCAGGCATTAGTATTCAGATGAGAAGCTTCCAGATGTTCTCCTTGAAATTATTTTAATACTTACTGTGGCCTGGCAATATGTAAGCAGTTTTGTAATAATAAAAAGAATTCTCAATAATAGAAAAAATGATGATTTTCTAAAGACCACTCATGTGACATTAGGAATTTCTAAGTTGTTTGTTCATTTAACTTTTAGGCACTATCTATCACCTAGTTTTGCTGTTGTTCCCAAAAAATTAAGAGGTCTGCATTAACCTTAGAGGGCATTCATATTTACTCATAGTTGAAATGCTGCCCTTTTATTTCTCTAGAGAAGTGGCCAGTCTAAAAGGCAGGTTCATTTGTAGACTGGCAGGTAGCTGCCTGGCATTGAAAACTTGTTAAGAAGATGCATACTTCACTATTTTGCTTTCAGGAATTCAAGAAGGCACTTGTATAGGATCTCTTCTTTCCCAGCTTGGCCCTTGCAAGCTCCTTTTTCCTCCTGAATCTCACTACATCCTGAAATGAAATCCTGCATTTTACAATTTTGATACACCTGTTTCACTCACTCAGTGAGCATTTATTGTTTACCATGTCTCCAGGTTTTGTACTAAACTACAGGAATACAAAGAAAGCCAAAAACTTAAAGCATCGTTTTCATGTACTTTAATGTCTCTTTGTTTTCTTTAATTGCAGTCTTTTCCTTCATAATATCCTTCTGTTAGTATACTGAATGGGTATGACAAATTTTTTTTTTAGTTGAAATAGGTATATGCCCAACTGAAAGAGTAGTCAAAAAGAACTGTTAGCACCCCTTTGAGATGACTTCGTTCAATTGATGTGATGTTGTAATCTTGTAGGAAAGAAATATTGTCTTTAGAATAGGCTTAGCTTAAAGTAATCTAGATTCTATTTTGTTACCACAAGTTGTCTGATACAGAGGTGCCTTATATTAAGGCTAATATTAAGAAACAATATGAAGCCTGTATATTGAGACATTCAGTAAAGAGCCTATTGCTTGTACTCGTCACCTTATTTTGCTGTGTGGGAAGTGGAAACTCCCTTCACCATTTGTATTTTTAGTCTTTAGCTGGAGCATTGTGAGATTAAATGATTTGCTTATGGTTGAAAAGCTGGTAAAAGGCAAGACATGAACTTGGATCTTCTGACTTCAAGGCCAACTAACTATCCACTATACCACATTGCTTCTCATCTCATCTATGAGGGGCTTTTTTTAATGAGCAGTCACAGAAATTGAAGAATTGAGCTAAATCTTAACTCAAGAAGTTCCACATTATTCTCATTTTACCTTTGCTTTTCATAAACTAACTGTAATTCTTTTCCATAGGAACTCACCTTCGAGGCCTAGAAACCACAGCAACTTATGACCCTAAAACACAGGAGTTTATTCTTAACAGCCCTACTGTTACTTCCATTAAGTGGTGGCCTGGTGGACGTAAGTAACTTTATATACATTTTCACAATCAGATATTAAGATTTATTGTAAGATTCTATTTCAGATGTCAAGTTGATATTAAAATGTATAAATATGTATGTGCACAAATGGAAAAGGAATTTAATCAGCCCAAATTTGTCAGTAACCATTGTATATAATAATCTTTTTTTATTTTATCATATAAAATAATCTTTTTGATAGCTGTAACATGTGTCTGTTATGTGTTCCTCCTTTTTCACTTTATTTCACATAAACTTTCCATGAATTGACATAGTGTACAAAATTGTTGCTTTTCATAGTTAATATTCCATACTTTGCTTCTCTGTTCCATTATTGTTGGATATTTGGGCTATTTCTAGTCTAAATATCATTGATGTAAACACCTTTGAACAAATCACATTCTTACCCCCTCCCCCGTTTGAAATATATCTGTTGGGTATATTTCCTATAGTGAGATAAATAGTTAAAAGTTCAGTTTTGTAGGTGTAATTGCATGTCAGATGTTAGACAAAATTTTGACAGGAAAAGACATTTCTAGAAACACAGTCTAAAAACTTCAGAAAAGAAAAATTTTTAATGAATTTCCTCTTTTATAAAAAGCAGTTAGTTTGCTTTTAAAAATTCAAAGTAACCTGGGAAATGGAGTTGATACTAGCAAAAATGGTGGATCTTCTCTCTGAATTTTGGGTGTTGGTACTCTCATTGAAAAGTGTTTCAGGGAACCTTGTGATATAGCCTGGAAGCATAGTTCAGGCCTTTCAGCAGAGAGATAATTAGGTCAACTGGTTGAGAATTTTTTTATTTTTAGGAATCTTGTGATCATTTTGCTTATTCTTGATCTCACTGTTGCAGTTGGGAAAACCTCAAATCATGCCATAGTTCTGGCTCAGCTCTACACTAAGGGAGAGTGCTATGGATTGCATGCCTTCATTGTACCTATTCGAGAAATGGGAACCCACAAACCTTTTCCAGGTAAAATTCTGTTTACTTAGTACCATGGAGGGAAATGAAATTAACCACTTTGGTTGTTCTGCTAAAAGCATTCCTAGTGCTAGGTAGTCTACTTTTGAAGCTGTTTATTTCATTTTTCATCTAAACACTCAGATGGAAGTTGAAACTGACTCTCGATAGATTTCCTAGATAGTCTTAGCATTTAATGAGAATTGACAGGTTGTCGTTTTTTCCAATTAGGAATAATACCTAGAGTCAACGCTAATGAAGGAAGCCTCCTGCGATTAGAATAGTGCTATGAAGTTGCCTTGTATCTAGCTTAAGAATAAACTAATGTGATTTGTGCTTATAATTCTCATGTATTCTTAGTTTAATAGGTTTTCCCTTGTTCCCCAGTTCCCAAAAACATTTACTAGGAAGAAACAATTTCTAAAGGTAGATTTACCACAAAATACTTTCTGTTTATACAAAAGTTAACTTCTCAAGGTTTCTTGTCCCCTTTTTTCTTCTATGGTAGGCATTATCGTGGGAGACATCGGGCCCAAGTTTGGCTATGATGAAATGGATAATGGTTATCTAAAGATGGACAACTATCGAATTCCTCGGGAAAATATGCTGATGAAGTACGCCCAGGTATTTATAGACACAAAAGAGGAAAACAGTAGTTGATTTGGACATTTTGATTGTGAGTAAATATTAGAATAGGAAATTTTTGTTCTTTTGCTAATTAATATAATTTTACTACTCTGTTAACGACAAGGAAAAGCAGTCTCTGAGCCACATTTTTTTTTTCTGTTAGGTCAAACCTGATGGCACATATGTGAAGCCTTTAAGTAACAAACTGACTTATGGAACCATGGTGTTTGTCAGATCCTTTCTTGTGGGAGAGGCAGCTCGATCATTGTCTAAAGCTTGCACTATTGCTATCCGCTACAGTTTAATAAGGCACCAGTCTGAAATCCAGCCAGGGTAAGAGTGATGTCTGAGAAGTAGGGATTGTTAAAGATCTGCCCTTGTTTGTGCCCATTCAAAATAGCAGACTTCTTAGATGTTGCATATATGTAAATCATGTGGCAATGCAAGATTTAAATTATGATACTGCTGTTCTTACTGCTGTAATCAGTACCTCTGTTTTTTTTCTCTGGTTGTAAAATGGGAATTACACCATCTTCAGGGTGACACTTGTAAAAAAACCTTCTCAGCTCCTTAGATGAAGAAATGCTGAGCAGAATTTGAAAATTCCCCATACTACCAGCAGCTAGAAATTTTGGATAAAGGTAGTAACTTTAAGCTGAGTGTTCTTTTCTTTCATGAGTGATACATAGTGGTTCATGCCTCCTCTTCATGCTGCCATCAGTAGGCATAGCTCCTTCATAACCCTTTCCTCTCTGAAAAATGAAGAAGTAATTGGAAGAAGAGTGGACTTTTAATGTCAATGACTTTGGTCAGCCCTTGAAATTAAGTATCTACATAGTTCCTCTTTCTAAAATTGTGATCCAGATATCCTTCATTTAGTCACTTAGCCATAAACCTCATGCTATAGCTATCCTCCATAAATGTTAATTGTTACTTCCTTGGAATCTGCTCTAGTATATACTATCCTGGCTTGGACAGAAAAGAAACTTAATGGAAGAATCATAACTGAACATCTGAAGAATTGTCAGCATCTGTGAAACATATTTTCCTTATTCCCATTTTGCTCTAGTGATCCTGAACCCCAGATCTTGGATTTTCAGACCCAGCAATATAAACTTTTTCCTCTCTTGGCCACTGCCTATGCCTTTCAATTTGTGGGAGCCTACATGAAGGAAACCTATCATCGCATTAATGTGGACATCAACCAAGGGAACCTGAATGAACTACCTGAGGTATTTATTTGTTTGGGTGACTAAACTGGTAGATCAGGAAAGTACGTTAGACATGGCATCCGTAAATTTCAGTAAGGCCTTTGACAAAATCTCTCATACTGTCTTTGTAGACAAAAAGGAAAGTTACAGGTTGGATGATAATACAGTTTAGTGTGTAAACTCTTACAGCACTAAGAGCTCAGTTGTTTTATAAAATGTTAAGGAAAAAATATTATGACAGTGTCCTGGTCTGAAGTTATTGGAGTTAAATACCTAATCAGTCTTCCTTGCATAGTTCAGAGAAGGATCTTGATTCCCTAAAACCAAGGCTTGATTTTCTGAACAAACCAGAAGTGGGAGTGTCTTCTTGTTTAATCCAATAAAGAGAGGCATCTCTTTTGTACAAATCCTTAAAAGGGAATAGTTAGAGGCAGTAATTGGTTTTAAGAAGCTATTTCTCCAAAGGTAGATAGACATTACTATTGTACTGTTTAAGCACATCAGAAACCCTAAACCTAAATTACGTACTTTTTAACTTTGCTGTGGAATTTTATCTTTTGTTTCATAACTGTAAAGTGCAAGGGGATGCCTTTTGGGCCTCTCTCCAAGTCAAATGCTTAAATATTAGCAAATTGTCTCTGACTTTGGCTGTAACACAAGGGTGTAGAGTTTTTTCTTCCCTAGGTAGATTTGAAGCAGATTCACCAGACCTAAAGAGTAGCAGTCAGTCTCAGCTTAGGTTTCTAGCCTAGTGCCCCAACATTCTGTCCTTACCTTGTGCTGCTCAGTATTTTCATCAGTTACTTAGATCTGAATGACATGCTTCTCAAATTTATAGGAGACACAAAGCTAGGAGGGATAATGAATACAATGGTGACAGAATTAGGATCCAAACAAGATCTCAGCACCAAAATGATGGACAGCACCTAGTTAGATGAAATTTATTAAAGATTAAAATAGCCTTATTCTTGGGTTAAAGTACCAGATGGTGGAGGTGTTGTTAGATAACAGTTAAATGAAAGCCTCTTAGGAATTTTACTGAATTGTAAGTTTAGTGTAAGTTAGCTGTGAAATGGCAGCCAAAAAACCTCCTGTAATCTTAGGTTGTATTAATAGAAAGATGGTGTCCAGAACAAGGGAAGTAATAGTTCTACTGTATTCTACCCTGGTCAGACCATATAGAGAGAATTATGTTCAGTTCTGGAAGCAATATTTTAGGAAAGACATTGACAAGCTAGCACATGCCCAGAAGAAGGATGACTAAGACAGTGAGTGGACTGAAAACCATGCCCTAGGTACAAAGTTCTCTGAAGGAACTTGAGATGTTTAGACTTGAGAAGGAGGACCATGACGGTTTTTTCAGTTTTTTGAAGGAATCTCATGTGGAAGAGAGATTCAGAATATTTGGCCCTGAAGGGCAGAACTTATAGCAATGGATGGAAACTGTAGAGATGCAGATTTCAATCTAAAGAAGAACTTTTAATTCAGTTTTATTTTATTGTCACTTCTAGATTCTCTTCCTCCCCCCAACTCTTTCTTCACCAACTGAGAAATGTAAAACCCATTACAAATATGAAGTTATGCAAAACAAATTTGAAAACAAGAAAAAGAAAAAATATACTTCAGTATACTTTAAGTCCATCATTTCTCTATCTAGAGATAGTATCTTTTAATCAGGAGTCCTTTGGAACTGTGGTGGGTCGTTGTGTTGTTCAGAGTTACTAAGTCTTTCTCAGTTCGTTATCTTTATAATAAAGGAAGAACTTTGTAATCATTAAAATTTCAGGAAGTAACTAAATGACCTATCACTGTAGGTTGTAAAGTAGATGAACATTTTGTCAGAGATGATGTAGAAGGGATTCCTGTTCAAGTATAGGCTGGGCTAGATAACCTCTGAAGCATCTTCCAACTCCACAATTTTATGAATACTCAAAGTAGACTGATTCTAAAGACTATAAAAATATTCCAGACATTTTTTCTTTTTGGGGGGGATGGGGGGAGGGTTTGGCGGTGGGTTAAGTGACTTTGCCCAGGGTCACACAGCTAGTAAATGTTATGTGTCTGAGGCCGGATTTTAATTCAGGTCCTCCTGAATCCAGGACCAGTGCTCCATCCATTGTACCACCTACCTGCCCCCAAACACTTTTTCAAAAGATGGGCACTGTTTTTTCTGATTGAAATTGAGTATCAGAGATGAAGATACGTATAGTATGGGTTTGCATAGTGTGGAAGAAACTTTCTTAGAGAGCACATTGTATTTATTTAGCCAGTGTCTGTCAGAAACAATATATTAATATTTGCAAGTTTTGTTGCTTGGAGGAAGAGTCAAGCAAGGTTCCCTCTGCTAATTTGAATTCTCCTTAAACTAGGAATTGTCTTCCTACATTTTATGGTATTCAAGAAACAAGACAAAACTTCTTCATTCTTTCTTTGAACTCAAAGAAATACTTTAGTCATTCAACAAGGATTTTTTAAGTACTTACTCAGTGCCAGACATAGTGCTAAGTGCTGGCAGAAACAGTCCTTGGTCTCAAGGACAACATATACATAAATAGGTACATACAGAATAGATGTAAGGGAATCTGGAGAGGAAAGCTCTAGCAGCTGTGGGGAAAGGGGATGAATTAGGAAAGAGTACTTGCACAAGGTGGTGTTTGAGTTTAGTCTGAAAGGAAGCCAGAGATTCCACAAGTTGGAGGTGATAAGGAAGAGCCTTTCTGGCATGAGAGACAACCAGCCAGTGAAAGCGCATAAAGTTGGGAGAGAGTGTCATGTGGAAAGAACAGCAAGAAGGCCTGGAGAGCTGGAGAGTCTGGAGGAAGTAAAGTGTAAGAAGACAAAAAAGGGACTTTGACTAAATCTATCAACCCAGTCCTTCAGCTGATCCTTCAAGTATTTATTGAGCTTCTTCTATGTGCCAAGCAGTATGCTGGGGATACGAGTCCAAAGAATGAAATAAATCTTCCTCAATGAGCTTACATTCTGATGGACAAGATAACAAATACTGTAGGTGTGAAAATATATTCAGTGTAAATATAAAGAGAGATTCTGAGACAGGGGTAAGGAGGAGTATTTTCGAGGCATGAAGGGGACAGCCCAGGCAAGGGCATGGAGTTGTCCGGTTTGAGGAACAGAGAGAAAGATGGTTCCTTGGCTTGCAGAGTGCAGGAGGGGCAGTAATGTCCACTGAGGCGAAAAGCTAGCTTGAGGGCTAGTTTTAAGGCCTTAAAAATTAAATGAAGGAGTATGTTTTTTTCCTAGAGGCAATAGGATACTCCTGGGGCTGGTGGAATAGGAAAATCATGTAGTCAGACCTACACTTAAGGAAAATGATTTTCACAGCAGTGCAGAGGATGAACTGAAATAGGAAGACTTGAGACATGGAGACCAGTTAGGAAGCTGTTGCTATAATCCAGGCAAGAGGTGATGAGATCCTAAACTAAGGTGAGGGCTAAGAAGCAAGAGATGTAAATGTAGAAGGAAAGATTTGGTCATTGATTGGACATGTGGAGTGCGGAAGAGCAAAGAGTACAAGATAAAGCCCAAAATTACAAAACTGGGAGGTTGATAAGAATGATGATGTCTGGGGCAGGTAGGTGGCACAGTGGATGGAGCACCAGCCCTGGAGTCAGGAGGACCTGAGTTCAAATCCAGCTTTATATCAAATACTTGACCCTTACTAGCTGTGTGACCCTGGGCTAGTCACTTAACCCCAATAGTCTAAAAATTAAAAAAAAAAATAGGGAAGTTTAGAAGAAGAGAAAGTTGAGGGGAAAAGATAATGAGTTCATTTTAAGGCATGTTGAATTTAAGCTGTCTGTGGGATATCCAGTGTCTACTAAGCAGTTAGTGATATGAGATTGAAGGTCAGGAGAGACTGAGGCTGGATATCTAGAACTAGGAGCCAGTACATAGAGAAGATAGTGAAAAATATATGAGATTTGATGGGGTTAATAAGAGAGAATGTAGAAGGAGAGCCTAGGATAGTACTTAGGGAACCACTCAAAGTAAGGGGGTATAATATAGATGATGAGCCAGTAAAGGAGACTGAGTAGAAGTGATCATTCAAGTAAGAGTTGAACCAAGAGAGAGTAGTGTCAAGAAAACTGAGAGGAGAGAATATCCAACAGGAGAGAGGGTTGGGCAGCAGTCTCAAATTCAGCAGATGGGTCAAGAAGATTTAGGTCTGAAAAGAAAACTTGACAGATTTGGTAAAGATCTCATTGGAGGTCTTTGGAGAGAGAAATTTCAGTTGACTGTGAAGTTGGGAACCAGATTGCAAAGGGTTGAGGAGTAAGAGGAGAGGAGGTAGAGACAATGAGTTGTAGACACCTTCTTCAAGGAATTTGACTGAGAGAAGAAATAAAGGATGCTAACTTTAGGGAGTGGTAGAATCTAGTAAAGGATTTTTAAAGATGGTAGCAATTTGGGCATGTTCAAAGTTGTCAAGGAGGAACCAATTGATAGGGGTAAGTTGAAGATGAGTAAGGGGGATGATTAAAGATTCCAACCTGTGGAGAAGAAGGGAGTGGATGGGATCAGGGTTGGTCTTGGCAAGGAGAAGATACTGGGGGGAAGGAGGAGAGAGGAGGAAATGAAGGGAATGGGATTAGAACGGTCTCAGTTTTTCAGTAAAGTAAAAGGCAAGATCTGCAGCTGGGTAGAGGAAAGCAGGTATGGGAAGGCTTGAGGAGGGAACCAAAAGTTTGGAATAGCTTCTGTGGGAAGGAAGAGTGAGATAGGAAATCATTTGGGAAGAAATAAAAAAGGCTGCATGAGGACGCAGTTCTAGTTGAATAACATGGATTTGCAATGTACCTAGTCAGCATATTTGTGGGATTACCTCCAGCTTCATTTAGCAGCTGGTGAGTTGGATTGGAGTTGGTAGATGGGAGTAACCCAAGGCTGAGATTTGGTAAGGGGAAAATGGCAGTAGAACAAAGGGGCAAGGAATTCAAAAGCAGAGCACATCGTAGAATTGGAATGACTTACTATGGAGTCAGGGTTGGAGAAAGAAGAGAGTCAAATCCTAGCAGGGATAATTGCTTGGGAAAGTTCTGAGGTGTGGAGGGAATGGAGGTCTCCATGACAATGAGTAGAAGTTATAGGGGGATGAAGTGCATAGGAAGAGGTGAAATGATAGGATGTTATGGTCAGGTAGAAGAATGACAGAGATTCTAATTAGGAAAGTAGAACACCTGTGGGTAATATCAAGCTGTAATATGTAACCATTCCTGTGTGTGGCAGAAATAGATTGAAATAAGAGGTCGTGGGACTTTAGGTGGTTGAAGTAATGAGAAGTTAGGGAGTTTGAGAGAGCATCTGCATGAATATTCAAGTCCTCTAGTATAATGGCAAGAGTTGGGGAGAAGAGGAAGATGGTGAGCCAGGTGTTGAACTCCTTCAGAAAGGAGATATGGGGTTGATATATTCCAGCCACTATAATTTTCATTGGGTGGAAAAAAAATTTTTGAAAAGACTTCAGAGGAAAAGGTAATAAGGAGTTACAGGAATTTATTGAATTGAGGAGGGTGACATGGTCAGATCATGCTTTTTAGAACACTTTGGCAGCTGTGTAAGGAATATACTAGAGTTTTCAGTCTTTTTTCAGTTGTGTCTGACTCTTCATGACCCCATTTAGGGTTTTCTCGGAAAAGATGCTGGAATGGTTTGCTCTTTTCTTCTCCAGCTTATTTTATAGATGAAGACACCAAGGCAAATGAGGTTAAGTGACTTGCCCAGGGTCACACAGCTAGTGTGTGTGAAGCTAGATTTGAACTTAAAAAGATAAGTCTTCCTGACCCAAGGCCCAGCTGCCCTACTAGAGTAGGGAGAAACCAATTAAAAAGCTGAAGCAGTAGTTAAGGCATGGTAGTGAGAAGGTTGGAACTTGGCAAGACATAATTAGCAAGAGGACAAGGAGATAAGGGATTTGAGAATAGATGATAATTGTAAAATTGAACAAGTTCACCAACAGAGTGGGAAGGGAATAGAGTATAACCAGCACAAGGATGATGGCCTAGAAAAGAAGTGAAGGATGATGGGATTGGAGGTCACAGAGATTGGTGTGGCAAGGCAAAGGAAAAAAATGATAAAAGAATGATAAAAGGTTGTGATCAAATGTGATCCACGTTAATGTGGAAGTAGACATGTGGGGGATGGCAGGGTCAAGGGTATGACCATCTCTGGGTGTAGCTAAGGGTGGATGAAGGGGAATCTCCTTTTCCTGGTCATGGGAATTAAAGTAGGACAAAGAAACTGGCAAGTTCCACTCCTAGTTGGATCACCACAAAGCCTCTTAGGATCAGGGACTTTCAAGTCCCGCCTTAACCTTGATTGTCTTCTATTACAAGATTGAGTAGTTGTTTCATTCAAATGAAACCAAGGACCTTAAAACAGGGCACTGATGTAATAGTATTTCTTAATATTTCAGAAAACGAAAAGAGGCCTAAGTGCTATGTTTTTCTTTGGCACGTTTGTTTTAAAACTCATATTGTCGATGTTTTGTACCCAATTACTCATTCTTCAACCAAGGAAGTGCAAATGGGTGACTCTGGCTACTATCAAGTACTAAGGAGTCTATTATAAAGAGTTTATCAAGAACTTTGAGTTCAAGTCCATTGGATGACCATACTTGTAAATTAGAATATCATCCCAATAGTTTGGAACATTTTAATTGCTGTTAGCCTGGATATTTGATTTTACTTACTACATACTTTTAACTAACATTTACTTACTGCTTACTTTTACTAACATTTCTCAGCATAGCCATGTAGATTCTTGTGGATATATGTTTTTCTTCTTTAGCTTCATGCACTGACAGCTGGGCTTAAGGCTTTCACCTCTTGGACAACTAATTCTGGCATTGAAGCCTGCCGGATGGCTTGTGGCGGGCATGGATACTCCCACTGCAGTGGCCTCCCAAACATTTATGTCACTTTTACCCCCACCTGCACCTTTGAAGGCGAAAACACTGTGATGATGCTCCAGACAGCTCGGTAAGGGCTCATGCATTCATTTCTGACATCTCTTGGTAAATCTATTTGTGTAACTTCCCATCCTGAGTCCTAGACTGGGTTAGAATTTTTCCCTGTTCTGCTTTAATACCTCAAACAATCTGTCATTCATTGGCTAGTGGGCATCCTTCAGTAGACACAGAGCGGAACCCTTTAGTAGAGGTCTTCAGGAGTTGCTGTGGCAAAGAGATTCATCATCTTGTCACCTTGTTAAGCCTTTCTGAACTTAGGCTGGTCTTGAAATACTAATGAGTGAACATAATGGTGTGTTGCCACTATATGGTAACAAAGCTCTTTTCAGGAAGTCTTTCCAGATTAAATGATAAACATATTTTAACTACCACAAAGAATTCATGTCTGTTTTGTGCCATGTATGGAATTAGTCAGAATATGGGAAATTTTCTACAGGTTAGTAATTTTCAAGTCTAAATCCTGAATTTTCATAGAAGGCTATTTATGGAGAAGTTTACAGCCATTGGTTTCATTTCTTGTAGTATGAGTGCAGAACTGTATTTTCCATCTTTGTGGGATAAGCCAGGGCTTGTGCTCCCCTGTAGCAGTGCCCTTGAGAACCCAGCATCACCTCCATGACACAGGAAGCCTTTGGAATATGACTTTAGGGAGGAGTTCCCCTATTATACTATGATTAAACTGTGCATACTTAGGACCCCTGTCAGCCTTCTTGGCCCAAAATGGCTCCAGATCCCTGGACCATGACAGGTCACTTCATCTGCCCAGGCCTCTCCTTCCTCTGTGGAATGAGGGGTTTGAGCTAGATGAGCTCTAGGCTCTTTTCCAGTCCTGAGTTCTGAGAGTTAGGGTTTTTTTTTCCTCCTTTGTCTCATTGACAGCAATATAATTTAGTGCTCACATACTTGATGACTTTTAGGTTTTTGATGAAAAGCTATGATCAGGTTCACTCAGGAAAGTTGGTGGGTGGCATGGTGTCCTACTTGAATGACCTGCCTAGTCAGCGCATCCAGCCACAGCAGGTGGCAGCTTGGCCAGCGATGGTGGATATCAACAACCCAGACAGCCTCACAGAAGCCTATAAACATCGAGCAGCCCGGTAAGTTTAAATGCTAAAATATGCTGTTGTGTCTTATTAAGATAAACTCCAAATGGATAGGTGACTTAAACATAAAAGGTAGTCCCTGCACTCAAGGAGCTCACAAACTACTGGGAAAGACAACATGCAAACTACTGTGTACAAATAAGATAAGCAAGATAAATTGGGGGTGGTCTCAGAGGGAAGTCACAAGACTAAGTAGGACTGAGAAAGGCTTCTTGCAGAAGGTGGGCCTTAAGCTAAGACTTGAAGGAAGCCAGGAGGTGGAAATGAGGAGAGAGAGAGAGAGAGAGAGAGAGAGAGAGAGAGAGAGAGAGTGAGTTCCAGGCATAGGGGATAACCAGTGAAAGTGCCAGGGGTCAAGAGCTTTGAGGTGTCGTGTACAAAGAACAGCAAGTTGGCTAGTATCACTGGATCACAGAGTATGTGTAGGAAGACTGGAAAGGTAGGAAAGAGCCAGATTAAAAAAGACTTTAAAAGGCAAACAGAATTTTATATTTGGTTCTGGAGATAATAGGGAGCCATTCGAATTTGTTGAATGAGAGAGAGGGTGTGTATGACATAGTGAGACCTATGCTTAGGAAGATTGGTTTGACAGCTGAGTAGAAGGTGGACTACAGTAAGGAGAGACTTGACACAGGGAGACAAATAACAGGCTATTGCAGTAATCTAGCAATAATGTGGGCCTGCCCACAGGGTGGTAGCAGGGTCAGAGGAGAGAGCAGGATATATAGGTGAGATATTTTGAAGGTAGAATCGACAGAATTTAGCAACAAATTGATATTCAAAGTTGAGAAAGAGTAAGGAGTCGAATATGATGACACCTAGGTTGGAGACGTAAGGGACTAGGAGGATGGTGATGCCCTCAACAATAATAGGGAAGGTAGGAAGGAAGGGTTTTGAGGGAAAGATAATGAGAGGTTTTGAACATGTTGATTTTATCATGTCTACAGTAATCCAGTTCAAGATGTCTAATAGGCAGTTAAATCATGCAAAATAGTATACCAGGAAAAAGAAAAGAGGGCCCAATGATTAGTAGATGTGACCTTAATGAAGATCCAACAAAGAGGACAGAGAAGGCGTGCCAAATGCTACAGAGAAGTCAAGAAGACATCATAAGCAAATTAGAGGAACAAGGAAGAAATTACTTTTCAGATATCTGAAAAGAGGAAAAGTTCATGACAGTAGATCACAAAATAAAATGGTCAGTTTTGATTATAGAACTGAGAAGTTTTTACACAAATGTAATATAGTTACAATTCGAAGGAAAATAGATAACTGGAAGAAAAGCTGCAGTAAGTTTCTCCGGAAAAGGTCTTATATCCAAAATATATAAAGAATTAATTCAAATTTGTAAGACTAAGACTCATTCCCCATTAGATAAATGGTCAGAAGATATGAACAGACAGTTTTCAAAGGAAGAAGTCCAAGCTATCAATAACCATATGGAAAAATGCTCTAAATCACTAATAACGAGAAATGCAAAATAAAGCAGCTCATACCTATCAGTTTGGCAAAGGTGATAAAAGAGGAAAATAAATGTTGGGGGGACTGTGGGACAATGCATTGTTGGTGAAGCTATTCTGGAAAACAATTTGGACTGTTCCCCAAAACTTAACAAACTTTTCATACCTTTTGATTCAGCAATATCACTACTAGGTCTGTGTTCCAAAGAGATTAGAGAAAGGAAAAGGACTCATTTGTATAAAAATATTTATAACAGCTCTTTTTGTAGTATCCTCAAACCGGAAATTAAGGGGGTATCCACCTATTTGGAAATTCATTTGGGAATGAATATAATGGAATATCATTGTACTGTAAGAAATGTATGGTTTTAGATGAAAGTAGAAAGACTGATGTAAAGCAGAGTGAGCAGAACTAGGAGAACAATTTATAGTGTTAGCAACATTATAAAGAAAAACATCTTTTAAGGACATAAAACCATAATTTCAGAGATCCAAGGATGAATCTTGCCAGTTACCCCTCACCAGAGAAGTGATTGACTTGAAATCCTGAATGAGGCTTAAAATTTTGAACTTAACCAATATGGAAATTTGCTGTGCTGGATTGTGTGTTGGGGATGTTGGTTTTGTTGTTGTTATTGTTGTTGTTGTTGTTGGGTTTTTTTCCCAATTCCATTGGGCGAGAAGATAGAGGATAAAAAAGATAAAAAGAAAAATAAAATATGTTCTTCTATAAGCTCATGTGGTCACAAGGGCCAACAAATTGAGGGAGCTTATAATAATACCTATTTCTGGGAAATCAAATTTTTTCTACTAACAGATTAGTAGAAGCTGCAGCAAGGAACCTTCAAGCCGAAATGAAGCACAGAAAAAGCAAAGAGATAGCATGGAACTTCACCTCGGTGGACCTTGTTCGAGCAAGTGAGGTCAGTGATTTATTCATAGAAGTTCTTATTTATGTTATTAAATATCCTCTTTCATGTAAGTTATTCTCACCCTTTTATGTTTTTTCCCCCTTTGTCTAGGCTCATTGTCACTATGTGGTAGTAAAGCTCTTTTCTGGAAATCTCTCTAAAATTGATGACAAACCCATTCAGGCAGTCCTGACGAATTTGTGTCTCTTATATGCCCTGTATGGAATCAGTCAGAATTCTGGGGACTTTCTACAGGTTAGTAATTTTTTTTTTCAGCTAGGCAGTGGGGTTAAGTGACTTGCCCAGGGTCACATAGCTAGCTAGTGTCAAATGGCTGAGGCTGGATTTGAACTCAGGTCTTCCTGACTCCAGGGCCAGTGCTCTTTCTACTGAGTTAGTAATTTGGCAGGAGAATGTCCGTGGCCAGGTTTATAGCCATTGGTTTCAGTTTCTTGCAGTTCATATGCAGAATTGTATCAGTAGTAATGAAATTCTCTATGTCCCTTTCAGGGGGGCATCTTGACAGAGTCCCAACTTACCCAAGTGAACCAGCGGGTGAAGGAGCTCCTGACACTGATCCGCCCCGAATCTGCTGCTTTAGTGGATGCATTTGATTTTCAAGATGTTTCACTTGGCTCTGTGCTTGGCCGCTATGATGGCAATATTTATGAAAATATGTTTGAATGGGCCAAGAAATCTCCACTGAATAAATCAGAGGTAAGAATTACCCTTTGTTCACTTACATTGTTTTCACCATTAAGTCATAATCAATATTGCTTTTCCATTACAAATCTGTATTTATGTATATCTTTAGTTGGAAATGGAAAGAAATAACTGTGAAAAGTGGTTCTTGGTTAAGATAGCCATGTGAAAGGATGCACAAGAGCCCAGCTCTCCTACTTATATTCCAGAAATGATCAAGAAATAGCACTAGATTGAAGAGTGGCTAAGAAATCCAAAGAAAACCATTAGGTGTAAGGCGGAGGACTATACAAAAAGGTTGCCAGAAGCTGAAGATATTGACATTGGCATCAGGCCAGCACCAAAGCGGGTTAACTGGGCAAAACCCATTGTAGGACCATGATCAAGGCAGCCCTAGGAGAGATGGAAGACTACCTCGCTCCCAGAGCAAGGAAAGCCAACCATAGACCTGATTGGAGCCTCAGAAGTGTTGCCAATTCTCTTAACATGAGGAAGGTGGAAGCTATGGCAGGAAACAAGGAAATTAAGATCAGAACCAAAAAAGAGTTGGACCATCCTGTCTAAGAGTATGAAGGGGTAGAGCCTCACCTTGCTGAGAAGTCCCAAACCAGGATTCAAGGCTGGAGATATGAGTAAGAAGACACCAAGCCTATGAAGAAATATATATAGATCAAGAAAAACCTAGAAGAGAGTTACTCCACAATCACCAGCAGAGTCTCAGAGGCTTAACTCCACGGACCACAAGAGTACTTCGAAAAAATGAAACAAGACAAAAATCAAAATAGCACTGGAGGGGGGAAAATTGAAAGTTCAGGTAGGAGCCTCTGAAAATTAGAATAGACCCAGTAGGAATCCATGAGGCAACAAGATGGGTAGTCAGGAAGGGAAAAGCAAAACAAACTTCAATTTCAGAGGACAGATCATTAGGAGTATTTAAAAAAAAATAAGTATAAGGATTAGTTATCAGGATCTGGGCTAAAGAAAGAGAGAGGCAGTAGGATTGGAGCTGTTTGGGTTTGGTTTTTTTTCATTACAAATTAGTAGTGTTGGTAAAATTCCTTCTCTTGTACCACCTTCTCTATAAAGAGGAGGGTGAGAGGCAAAGAGAATATAGTGGAAACACACACTCTAATCTTAACTGTGAACCCAAATGGATGAACTTACCCCCATAAAACAGAAGAGAATAATGGATTAGAAAGCAGAATCCAGTGTTCTTTGCAAGAAACACACTTGAAATAAAGATTCATATTGAGTTCAAATAAGGGGCTGGCAAGAGCAGAATTTGTTAAAAAGAGATTTGATTAATATCTTTCATTTTTATGTGACCTAGATTTTCCCATGTATTCCTACCACTGCTTTATTCCCAAAGAACCATTCCTTGAAACAGATAATTTTTTTGAGAGGAAAAAGGGGGAAAATTTAGCAAAACCAATTAACTCATTGAAAAAGAAATCTGTTATTATATTCATTGTTCCACCCTGTGGACCCCAACTTCTGCATAAGAGGAGGGAAAAAAATATCTTATCCTATCTCTTTGGGGCCAAATTTGTTCTTTATAATTATGAAATTTTCCATTTCAGCTGTTTTGTGGTAGGTCTCTTTTCCATATGCATTATTGTCACTATATATTTTCTCCTGACTCTACTTATTTCACTTAGCTTATAAAAACTAAATCTAGAATAAAATATCAAGAATCTCAAGGGTAATAATGAGAATAGAGGGGGCTTTCTTGGCTGTACTATGCCTCAAACAACAGTAATCATCAGAAGTATTTGATACTGATTAAAAATAAAGTTGATCAGTGGTACAGAAAGATTAGGTACACAGGGCCCAGATATTATCTCATTTGACCCCCACAAAAACCCTGGGAAGTAAATGCTATTATTATCCCCATTTTACAGTTGAAGAAACTAAGGCAGACAGAGGTTAGTGACTTGCCCAGGGTCACATAGCTTGGAGTGCCTGAGAGGTAAACAAACAGCAAAATAAAGTTAAATAAGCTTCCAACTACTCAGGGAAAGACTCACAATAGGACAAAAACTGCTGGGGAAACTAGAAAGTAGTATGGTAGAAATTAGGTATCAGCGTACTAGATACTGTTTACCACAATAGGCTCTAAAAGAATATATGGCCCAACTATAAAAAGTGACATAAAAAAAACAAATTAAAATGAGGAAAGGAAATAACTTGGGCTATTTTGGATAGCAGAATTCTTGGCCAACAAGAGATTGAGAGAATCATACAAGTTAAATAGGGTTGGATTTAGAGTCAAAAAGATTTGAGTTCAAGTACTCTTAGTACTTGACAGTTTTTGGCTTTATGGTCCTGGGTTACTGAATTGCTCAGTCTCAGTTTTCTTATCTGTAAAATTTAGATGATCCTTCACAAGGTTGTTGAGGACCAATTGAGATAATACATGTAAAGCCCTTTGCAAACATTAAAAGTAGTATATATGTGTTAGGCCGTTGTATTAGATATTGTTTGTGGGCACACTAGTGCGTTACTTTTGGAGCTATGAAGTGATCCAGCCATTCTGGAAAGCAACTTGGAACCATACTCTAGAAATCATTAAACTGTGCATACCCTTTGATCTAGGGATACTGATACTGGGCTTATGCCTCCAAAAAGTTAAAAAGACTGAGAGGACCCATATGTAGAAATAGGTTCATAGCAGCACTTTTCTCTTGGAAATTAGTAAATAATTTAAAACTGCTAGGCTGTGCTGTCAATAACTTCTTCTTTTTCCCTTTTCTACAGGTCCATGAATCTTATCACAAACACCTGAAGCCACTGCAGTCTAAGCTGTGAAATCTGTTATAAGCAACCTATCAGCTCCAGAAAGCATAGATGCTTTGCCTTCCTTTACACTGGATGCATGTATTGTGAATGGAATCTTTATCAAATACTGATAGCCTTAGAACAAATAATAAATTGGCCCCTCATCCTCTTTTTATAAATGAAGAAAAATGGACATATTTGGGAGATTGAATGGAAAATGGATATGTCTTAAGTGCAATTAATAGTGAGAGAGACTTTTTAAGCATTCAGAAAAGCTTTATAAAAATATAGTATGGCTTCTATTCATAATGCTGCTAATTTCTGTGGTCTGTGACCTCGATGATAATTAGCAGTTTTTAACTACTAAGTAGTTGACTTTTCAAGTTAAAACTGCTAGTCACTGGATAGATTTTAAGCATGAGTGTTTTTAAGCAGAAGGTGTATTTTGAGGTGCAGTAGAACCTCAATTTGCAGGCTTGCCTGCAAATGTCCCACAACTCTTATAATCCTGGGACTGTCTCAAAAAGTATAACATAAGGAGCTAGATTAGAGAGGGGAGGCCCATCTAAATGTTTAGTACCACTGCTTTGTGGCAGACCCCTTTTTCCCCACTATTCATTTTCTCCTTTGACAAATGTCTTGCACCCCAGTAACATTTCCCAGCCCAAGCATTCTGTGTCAGCACCTTCCTAGTATGATTAGAAATTGGCTCATTGACCTTATCCCTTTAGTTTTAACTAAGTACTGTAGCTGCTTTTCTACTTATATCCTTCCCAATGAGAAGCAGTGTTAACCTCTGTGAGGACTAAGAATAAAGTTAGCACTTCAAAATTAAAATGATTAGGGACAGCTAGGTGGTGCAGTGAATAGAGCATCGGCCCTGAAGTCAGGAGGACCTGAGCTCAAATCCGGCCTCAGACACGTAACACTTACTAGCTGTGTGACCCTGGGCAAGTCACTTAACCCCAATTGCCTAAAAAAAAAAAAAAAACAGATAAAAAAACAAAAATTAAAATGATTAAATAGCACCCTAAAGACAATAGTGGTTGGTGCTTGGTCTCTATGAAAGGGGCAATAGGGTCAAATCTTTTCTGAATGGAAATAGAGAACAGCTCTTCTGAGTCACTGTAGCTGGGGGAAAAAAATAAAAGGCCCACACAGGTTATCGACTCATTGGTGCAAGCGTGATTTTTTGGTTTCTTTCTGTTCTTAAGGAATTTTATCTGAAATGCTAAAAAGTCCCTTTCTTATTAAAGTCTCATTTGCACAGTTGTTCAGTAGCAAAGATTTAAGGATGTAGCTTTTAATTGAACTTTGTGATTTCATTGAAATCAATGTAATATAAACAGCAGAAGTCATTTAATTTTATACCTCTTTCTGTGACACCTGCCTGATGAAAATCTACTTGTCCTAAAATTTTACTTGACTCAAATATAGGACTGTATGAAAACCAAGAAAACTTTGGAATATGTTAAATTATCTTTGCAAACTAAAGGAATAACACTAATGAAATCTGACCAGGTAAAACTACTAATGTAAGAATCTCAAGTTTAAAAAAATTATTATAGGTTTACTCAACTGTGTCTTTCTTGGAGGAAAATTAACCATACTTTTTAAGTGTGACAATTATTAAGTTCTAGTTAGGCAGCAGTACTATTCCATTGTCAGTCAGGAACATGATCTAATATCTGCATTAGTGAGAAAGAGACAAAAGGAAAAAATTAAGTGTTGAATGTTACCCTTATTGCAATATAGAACGATTATTTCAGTGATGGTGCTCATATGTGTTCTACCAAGATGTATTTGTGTGGTGATGCTATTAAGTGGATCAGAATAAGACTTGGTAAACACTGTATGACAGATCTGTGATCATGATAAACAAGTTTGAGGAGATGCAAATAACAGAAGGACCCTAGAAATCTAGTAGATCAAGTTTCATTTCCCAACTAACTCATGCAGGAGTTTTTGTACTGTTTAATTTACTAAGATTCAGATGCTTTGCACCAATTTAATCAATGCAAATGAAGTCTTTTAAAATTAAGAATGAATATGGATTCTGATAACTTAAGAGTGTAAAACCTTACTAATTTGGAATCAGTCTCAATTAGTAAAAACTGCATTTTAATAAAACTTAAGATTTTCATTCTCTCCAAGTGCAAATAGTACTAAAGGCAAATAAAGTGGAACCTACTTTAATAAATAAGAATCATTTAAAATTTACATCAGTTGTTTTGTGCAAACACATGATTCCAAAAGTATTTTAAAACTACTTGCTTTCTTAAGTAAGCCAAACTTTTAAAAATCCTTTCAGTCTAGTTTGTTATTCATTTTCGTATTATTCTTAGTGCAAACATAAATTTAAGATCCTCGGAATAATCAAATATAGAATCACTGTGTGCTGAAGTAGATAATTAACTTTTGTTAGATAATGTTGATGCAAGCCTTTTGGAGAAATGTTTTATCTTCATCAGCATGGAAAATTTAAAACTAAATGTTTGTGAACTTAATTCAGGTGATTTTTAGATTCACTGATTAATCTCCCCCGTTGGTATTTTGAGCACCTAAATTCTGTGTTGTTCTGTAACGCCTGTTTACTGAGTAGTTTCAGAGGGCTTTGTCCAAAGTCCCTTTGTATTGCATTGGTTTTTTAGGTAGTCTTGTTAAAAATCAACTTATTTTCATCCACAGAGAGTGTACTACTTACTTGTAGCACAGTGACTGAATTCAAGTACTTCACAACAGCTTTAATCAGGTGCGCTCTCCCTGCCATAAATTTGAGTTTGTCATATACCTAAAAGGCACCAGTCTCTTTGAATGTTAATAGTTATTAAATTACATCTTAATTTTTTTTAAGAAGAAAGAACTCTTAAGTGGAGACTTGATAACTTTCTCCATTCTGGATGAAAAATTCCTGCAACTATTTGGTTTTTGCCCACTTAACTCCAAACCCCTCTCCATTTCTGTTTTTCTGTTTATATCTGAGAACCCTCAGTTTGATGTTCTTTTACACGTCTACTTAACACATGCTAATAATACTTTTTGAAATCTCAGATCAAGTCTCAAAACATCTCCTTTTTAACAAGGGGGTTCTGAGGTGTGGGACTGGGCTGGTGTGACATTAGGGAACCTGGAGTTTGAAGACTTGGCTTCTCAATCTGAAGGACTTCCTATATTCACCTGATTTCAGTGGTTTTGACTTGTTTCACGATCAGACTTGTCTTATTGTATAATCAGATAGGACCTCAATTTTAGTCCTAGTAAACAAGGACTTAACACTTAAAACTAAGGTTTAGGGTTTTTTTTTTTAAATCTAGCCAAATTTATATTCAAATTTTAGTACCATTTCTAGGATGAAGTCAGTAAACACCATATAATTATGAGAGCTTTTTAGGTAAAGAGGGGTGGTGTGGACTCTTATTGGATGAAACACAAATCCTACACTCAAAGTGAGGCAGGAAAACATGTTTCCCTCATGCTGGTGAACTGTCATTTAAAATTATGTGAAGATAGTGGGGAAAAGTGGGGGGGGGTGGAGAATGGTTTTAAATATTCTGAACTATATTACAAAAGCTATTTTTACTGCAGTGCTTACTTTTCATTACTGTTCTGTTTCACAAATCAAGAGTTTGCTGTAGAAAGTATGGAATGTTATCTTGGGAATAACCCTTGAATACTTTCTGCCTCTTAAAATGCATACAATCATATTTCAAACTTAAGGCCACAGAATCAGTCAAATGGTTTGTAACTATCTCGGTAAGAGAGCCTTGAGTTCTAGTCCCAGCTCTAGAACCTGGCCACGTCATTCCATTCCCCTAGGCCGGGAATTCCTCACCTCCAACAGGTTTTGTGCGCAGGCGCCTTTCCAAGTATTTGTAATCCGCACCTCCAAGCTACCTTGCAGTCGTGTTTGTTGAGGGGCACGTTGCACGCCTCTTTGAGTGGGATTCACCTAAAGCGTCGCCCCCAACGATGGCTAACCCTGCGGTGAGGAAGGGCGGGCCGGGTGACCCGGCCGCGTGAACCCACGTCTGTTTTGCCGGCCTACATGTCTTTTGGTCTTTGTGAAAAGTGATAACGTTAATAAAAATGTATGATTGGTACAAATGAGAAACGATGTCGTTTATTTGGCCGATGACCGCATTCTGGTTTCGAGGCTTTGCCTTGGTCATGGGGAAAGTTGTGACCGCCACCCTTCTCTCCATCAGAGATCTGGGGTGACGTTTAAGTACTTCGGTGCTCGGCAGCTACCCTCCCTAGAATCTCCCTTCTGCCCCCTTCCCTTCAGGCCGCTGTAAGTAACTCCGAGGAAGAAAGGGAGTCGGACTTCGAACACAGCGTGGTTGGCAAAAGCCGGTCCCTACCTCCGTGCCCCCTCCCACACCCGCTAACGGCCGTGGCGCGCGGCACCTTGGGAGTTGTAGTTTATCCCCGCTCCCCACAACCTGACTAAGGAGACGTTTGGACTCTATTTCCCAGGGTGACTTGCGGGGGTGATGCCCCGCCTTCGGTGAAGGTTAGCTACCGAGTACCTTGGCTGCAGCAAGAGAGGCCAGCACCCTCTGAGGGGCCGCGGCCCTCCAGGACTGGTGGTGGGTGGAGGGGGTGGGGCCTTCTGCCGTAGTGTGTTGTGGGTGGGGTACTTCAAAGAAGCCTAAATTGGGAAGATCGGAGTCGCTAGGGACTGGTGAGTGATGACTATGAGGATGGCGGGCCGGGGTTGGGGGCGGAGCTTGGGCGTGTAGGGGAGGCCCTGGACGTGGTCCTTCCTGTCTGGCAGGTGAGGTCGTGACCCCGGGACCGAGGACCGCCAGGGAGGGGGGAGCAGGGGGTGTCCCAGTGACCGTGGTGACCCTATCCCGCCTTCTGGTGCCCAGCAGAATGCTCAGCCTGGACGCCAATGGAGCTGTGATGTCATCGATGTGGGTATCCCTCCAGCGGGGCAGATAGCCGCCCTTCTACGCCTCATGCCCTTCTAGTCCATGCATGCCACAAAGCCTCCGAAAAAAGATCCACCCAGTGAGCCAGAGGCCTTTCTCTAAGTCTTTTTTGCATCACTCAGTTTGCCTATCCCTTATTCCGAGTTGTTGATGAAATAAGGAATAAATGCATGAATAAGTAAGGCAGACTAATCCCTAAAGATACACAGATGAACCCGAGCAGCCAAATCTGATGGGAGAAGAGATGTTGAAGGTTCCAGACAACAGATAATGAAACATACTTCCTTCCACTCAATACAGAGGTAGGGACTCCTAGGACAAAATGTTATGTACATTGTTAGAGGTAGTCTATATTTGATGGGGATTTTTTCTTTGTCTTAAGGGAGGGTTCAATCAGAAGGGAAGGAGGATGTTTCCGGCCCCCCCCAATGACTAATTAAATCCAAAAAGCCATCAAAAAATGTATATATATATATATATTTTTAAGGTAGATATAGAGTTGCGAAAGTTGTCTTCTCGCCCTTATGCTCGTTCTTTTCACACAGGGAGGTCACAGAGATACCTCGTCCAAGGAGGAGTATGGTCTGTGA